TGAAGGGGGAGAGGAGAGGCGAGGCGGATAGGAAGAGGGAATAGCAGGAAAGGCATAAAAAGAAATCGAATCGCAAGAACGAAATCAATCCATTGCAAATGCTTTCACATAGGTATCCCTACAGTTTCAAGTAAGCGTGTCATTTCACAATGATACCAATGTTCGACCATGTGGAAGCTCATGCTGCCTACACTAACAATTAAAGGCAAATTGACAATGCGATAAAAAAGCCTCCTCCCGTCCAGTAAAAAGTTACTTGTTGTGTGTGTACCGCGTACGCGTGTCTTTTCACGATGACACCACTATTCGACAACGTGGGATCTCGTGTTACCTATATTAAAAATTGTAGGCAAGCTGCCGAAGCGTTAGAATCACCTCTTCAAGTCCAGAAAAAGGATATTTTTTGTGTATTCTGGATGAGCTTGCAATCTACGGTGATCTAACTACTGCCCGGTGGAAGCCCGAGTTGCCTACACTAAAAATTGAAGGCGAACTGATACCGGCATTAAACTCACTTCTTCCGGTTTGGAAAAAACCCATTTTTTACATGGCAATTCGCGGCGCGATGTTTTCATGGAGGCTTTGACATTTTAGATGTGTATCTTTAGAATTACCTTGAAACATTTTCGCGGGATTTGCAAGTTTTTCGATCAAAATTCCAGATAAAAAGAAAATTTTATGAAATTTAAAAAGAAGCGGGGAACATACTTTCACCCAAACAATACTATTTGTCCCTTTGATGTACCTATAATTCCATTATTTTTCCCGAGAACTACCTACGTAGAACATTTGTCTGAGCTACACGAGCAAATATTTGTATATTTTCTCGTAGCCCATACATACACTTGACTCTCTGATACTTCGTTCTAATTCTTATGAAAATTATCTTGTTTAGGTGGAGTTTAAGGGTGGTAAAAAAGCTAATTTTGGAAACGTTTTAAAACCATCACAGACACAACAAACTCCGTATTTACAGTGGTCAGCAGATCCAGATCACTATTACGCCGTTATCATGATCGGTAATAAAAAGATTTATGTATCTAACTTAATCGAACATCCCGAGGCTCACGAGAAATTAAAAGTCAGCAAGCTATGGCAAGTAATAACAGCTAGAGAGATGTTTGATGTATCAGAGTGCCTAACTCGTGCGTCTATACTAATTCTACGATTGAAAGCAGAAACAAATCAGCAGTAGAAACAAGAGTACCGTCATAAACAAATGGGGGAGGGGGGGGGTCCAGTAGATACGAAGGTTTAGTCACGGAGGTTTAGTTACTCTACAGTTAGGATATAGGTTTTGTGCTGCATGCTATTAAGCTGATTCGACGGTTGCCATTTTTGTGTCAGAACGACGTGCGATATATCGCATCAATTAGTTCTATAATTTCAGCTAATGCTTGTCATCTTTTTCGAATTTTGGGATCGCACTTCTGTTGTCATGAGATTTAAGAATTCATGCACCAAATTTGACAAAGAAATTCAACGTATTAAAGGCAGGGTTTTTTCAGAGGAAAAATATCGCATTAATTCGAGTACAGTTCCGATATCAGTATTGAACGCGATATTTTTCTTCTAAAAAAAACCCTGCCTTTATTACGTGAAATTTCTTTGTCAAATTTGGTACATGATTTCTTTAGTCTCATGACCAGGCCCGCCACATTTCATCTCGGGCCCTGGTACCAGTTTTAAGGTCCGGGCCCCAAGCACGGAAGGGGGGGGGGGTCAGAAGGGCATCCCCCGAGAAATTTTAGAATTTATACGACTAATCGGACGCATTTTGAAGCTTCCATAAAGAATTTTTCCATCAATTTCTGCGGAATAATTTTGTTTTTGTTTTTTTTTCTACTTTCAGCACAAAATACTTGCGAATTGTTTCATTCCAATTAACATCTGGACAATTTTTATTTTATTTTTTTTTGGGGGGGGGCACATGATACTATTTTCAGTTCTAAGAGGGCCAGGCCCCCCTGGACTCCCCCTTCGTTTGCCTATGGCAAGGGGATTGAGCCATGAGCCATTGAAGTCGAAGATGCCCAGACTGGAGACTCTTAGCATCTGACGACGGAAGAAAATGAAACGCAGTTACTAAAAATATCCCTCTGTACTGAAAATCTTGAAAATAGATAGAAATTTTCAAAGAAGTATACTTTTTTGAAAATTTAAGAAGAATTCTACTGTGTCCCAGCATGTTTCTGAAAATCTATTCACCTTTTTGCGAAATTTTTAGGGTAAAATTTTCACTTTCTCTTACGAAACAAGGGTTGCATGTGAATTCGTAGTGGTTTTTCACGGGTACCAGGGACCCAGTATCCCCCGTTTGTGGCGGGCCTGCCTTCATGCACGCTGGGCTTGTCGATTTCCTCTGAAATTTTTGCAGTGGTGAATGAATAGCTGAAGTGCGCTTCAGCTAGAATTGTATTTAGCAAATGGGTGGTTTTTATAGGAGGATTATAATTAAACAAGTGGTTAGAAATGGAAACAAAATAATATGAACTATGCAAAACGATAATCCGGGTATCGGAACTTGGCTGATTTGAAAACGCCTTCAAATGCGGCGTGATACCTCACGCATTCCGGAGAGTTCAAATAGTTGTATCATTGCGCCGTATGAATGTGACGGAAAATTTGAATGGAATACTAGCCTTCATGCGGGCTCGCCACATCCCATCTCGAGCCCTGGTGCCAGTTTTATGTTCCGGGCCCCAAGGACGGAGGGGGGGGGGTCCGAGGGGCATCCCCCGAGACATTTTAGAATTTATACGACTAATCGGAGTTAAATGGAGTCCTTTGGGATCAAAGGATCTCCAAAGAGAACAAAAGAAGGATCTACAACGCGATTGTCAAGAGCATGAAGTATGGCCGATGAAACAGCGGACCCGGGAGGTTTTAGAGGCCACAGAGATGGACTTCTGGCGTAGATCCGCTGGTATTTCCAGAAAGGATCGCGTCAAGAATGAGACAGTACGGGATATCATGGATGCCAAGCAGACCATCGTGCATGACATTATGACAAAACAACTCATTTGGTATGGTCATGTCCAGAGAATGGCAGGATACAGGTTGCCGAAGAAGGTCCTTGACTGGGTTCCTCCTGGGAGAAGACGCAGAGGGCGCCCAATGAAAGGTTGGAGGGAAGGGATTGAAGCGGAAATGTTAAGGTGCTCAATCCCCCAAGATTTGTGGTTTGAAAGAGAGCAGTGGAGGTTAGGAGTCGTAGAGCGCGAGGGAGTGCTGTAAAGCGACTTATATGTATGTACTAGCTGCTCCGGGCGCCCTACGGGCGCCCTCCACAGCTAGCAATGGTGGTGCAGTAGCTTAATTGGAATCGGGGCAATTAGTTGAATCTATTTAATAATCTATTTAATAATGATGAATAAAATGTCTGTAACAATACGTGTTGATAGCAATACGCAATACTGCAGTTAATAGGTCAGGGTCAGTCAAGCCGCAGAGAAGAAGATGCCAGGATATCAAGAGGCTGTGAAGCGGAGCAGCCGAGGGATTGCGACGGAATGTGGGTGGCGAGTGACGAACTGACGAACGACGATGCGACCCGAACTTCCTTCTTTGAGGTTGGTGGGAGGAGAGCTATACGAAAGAAAACGGAGATAGCCGAAAGAACGTGGCAGGAGGGGTAGCTGAGACCGTAGAGGGGGTACCTAGGGACGGGCAAGCAGGTAGCGGCCGGACGACCGCTTGAAACAGCTGAACTTTACTCGTCGATAAAAGTAAGAAAATTTGAGAAAATCGAAAAAACAATTACAGCCTGCAAATCTACAAATCAGAAGCTTTCATTTAAAAAAAATCCCACGCAAATCGGTCCGGTGGTTCTCTCAAAGTTAATGTCCCAAAAATGAGGACTTTAGTCTGAATAAATGGGAGAAAATTTGAGCCCAGCTAAACTTCACTCGTCGATAGAAGTAAGAAAATTTGAGAAAATCGAAAAACAATCATAGCCTGCAAATCTACAGATCACAGGCTTTCATTTAAAACAAAAATCATGCAAATCGGTTCGGTGGTTCTCTCAAAGTTAACGTCCAAAGATTCGGACCTCCCTTTTAACTCATTGGAGAAAATTTGAGAAAATTATAGAGGAAAATTTGAAAAAATCGGAAAACAAATTACAGCCTGCAAATCTACAGCTCAGAGGTTTTCATTTAAAAAAAAGATCAGGCAAATCGGTCCGGTGATTCTCTCAAAGTTAATGCCCCAAGATTCGGAACTTTGCATTTTAATATATAGGATAGGATAGGATACGACTAATCGGACGCATTTTGAAGCTTCCGTAAAGAATTTTTCCATCAATTTCTGCGGAATAATTTTGTTTTTTGTTTTTGTTTTTTTTTCTTCTACTTTCAGCACAAAATACTTGCGAATTGTTGCATTCAAAACATCTGGAAAATTTTTATTTTTTTTTGGGGGGGGGAGGGCATATGATACTATTTTCAGTTCTAAGAGGGCCAGGCCCCCCTGGACTCCCCCTTCGTTTGCCTATGGCAAGGGGATTGAGCCATGAGCCATTGAAGTCGAAGATGCCCAGACTGGAGACTCTTAGCATCTGACGACGGAAGAAAATGAAACGCAGTTTACTAAAAATATCCCTCTGTACTGAAAATCTTGAAAATAGATAGAAATTTTCAAAGAAGTATACTTTTTTGAAAATTTAAGAAGAATTCTACTGTGTCCCAGCGTGTTTCTGAAAATCTATTCACCTTTTGTGAAATTTTTAGGGTAAATTTTTCACTTTCTCTTACGAAACAAGGGTTGCATGTGAATTCGTAGTGGTTTTTCACGGGTAACACGGGCCTCCTCCGGGGCCCGGGCCCCGGTACTAGGGACCCAGTATCCCCCCCCCCTTGTGGCGGGCCTGCTCATGACAACAGAAGTGCGATCCCAAAATTCGAAAAAAAATGACAAGTAGCTGAAATTGTGGAACGAATTAATGCGACGGTCGTTCTGACACATACAATGGCAACCGTCGAATCACCTTAAGCTGATTTTGCTGTTTTGTTGTAAACGGGCAGAACATTTCGATGACTTAAGTACAACACCACACCACGTATCTCCATCGCGGTGTTCCAAAATCTCTGCTCCTATTTTATTTTTTCGAAGAGAAACTTGTCAGCTATGTAGCTTGAAATTTGTAACTACGGTATATTTTGCTAGTCGAGAAGGGAAATCAAGGAAGTTTTCAAGAAAGTAAATTGACTAGATTTCAAATGAAAAAAAAAAATGCATGACACGGTCTGCGGTATTGCAAATGGAGATACGTGATATGGTCTCGCAATTTGGTCATCGATTTGCGAAACAGCAGGCATCGTTGCAAGTCGGTTACCTATACCTAACTTACGTCACTGGAATCAAAAAGAAAAATGACAGCCCGCATTAAGTAGGACCAAGTCGGGCGTGCGAAAAACACGGGAAATCGGAACCATACATTTGTTCGAATTCAGCCCCACTCCGACCCGCACCAAATAAGTATCTTGATTTTTGAAAATTCCATTTTTTGATCGTCTCCTTTTGCCAGAGATCGTAAAAAAGAGGAAAATGATAACTTCAAAAATCAAGATTTTTGAGGCTTGTTGGAGTAACGGAACAGAATTATGCATCAATATAAACGCCAAATTCTCGAGAGGCAATCCGCGACGGACATATTTTTGCCAAAAGATAGGCTGAATTCGAAAAAAATATATGGCTCCGACTCCTCATGTTATTTTCCATAAGAAATGGTAGCCAGGCGTCTGACTGGCTGCAAAAAAAGCGTGAGAAGACCAGGTGATCGCGCACTGTTTTTCAATTCAATGCGGGCTTTCATTACCTCTTTCATTAGGATGCAGAAAATGAAACCAAATATACATGCTGAGAGGGTAAATTTGAGAATAATAAATTAAGACAAAAGAAACTATGTACAAAAGTTTTCATGCATCATACCTAGCTTTTTTTGATTTTATCAATTTGAACAAAGTACTTTTTAGTATATAATCACGTCAAATTTCCGTGCACTCATGACCATAGATTAAACGTCTCTAGGAAATGCGACGTCTCGGTACCGGTTTTTAAAACACTTTGGTTCATGCACGACTGTGCCCCCCCCCCCCCCAAAAAAAAAATTGTTGAGCCCCTTGAAACTATTGTAAAATTAGGTCTTTTCCCCTTTTTCCCCCAGACTTTGACGCACCTGACGCCGAGCATCATGCGTGGAGAGAGTGGTTACATTGGATGGTTGTCAATATACCCAGTTTTGATGTGGAAGCTGGGGATATCTTGACTCAGTATCTCGGCCCAAATCCAGGAGCTAATACAGGTAAGTAAATCGCAACAATACCACCATGCACCCAAGTACCACAGGTTGTAATATATTGCATAATAAAATTGTATCGGGGTGTGATGTATGTTGCCTATCAACCAATTAGGGGGGGGGGAGGGGCTCCTCTATTGAAATTTATCACAGTAAAATTGAAATACGTTGAAATATCTTTGACACTGCTTCTTACCTCTCTCACACGTGGAACTAATTTTTTTCATTGTTTAAAATTGGCATTTTTGGAGCAAATGATGAAAAAATATCGCGATTTTATTCCACTGAGTTGCAAAATTATTTCACTGCTATTTCCGTTGCAATGAGCTTCTTGGGCGACAGCCAAGAGTGGAAGGTGCAGGAGTCGTATTACCTATCAGTGGTCAGCACTCTCAGCGTATGCGGTATGCCCAGCCATTAACTATTACTACATATCTGCCACTAACATTAACTATCATACGACTCCATAACGACGGTAAAACTCCCAACCATGCATTCCGGTTTGCGATGTAGCAGACTTCCTGTCATTCTTCGTAACTTAAATGGAAAACTAGGTACTCAACGTCAATTTTCAAAAATTTCCGTGATTTTTCAGTCAGATTAGAATTATTCACTTCGTTCAGATTTGCTACAAGGGCACATAATTGAGGGGCTTGGTGGACACTGGACAAGGTGCGTAAATGCAGTTTTTGCTATTTTGAGAAATACGTGCTTGAAGTTTCGAAACTATATGGATTCTTATAGCGGAGAGAAAGTTCAAACTGACAATTAATTTGATGCTTAAAAATTGAAATTTGGGTGCACAGTTTCCACAGAATGTGCATTAAGCCTAGTTTTCCTTGAAATCATTATAATATCTCAATTTTTTCTCAAAAACTACACTTATGCACCTTGTTCTCTAGGCCCATCAATTAAATTCATGATAATTAATATGATCGATTGATGTACATGGTTTATTCTTGCAGGCTTCCATCGATATATTTTCACAGTGTTTAGTCAAGGAAATGATACCATCAAGTTCCATGAACCCCTAAGAGTGAGGAGGTAAGCGAGTGAAAGTTAAATGTTTTATCTCTTTATTCTAATATGCATCATATACCTCCTAAATTTGCATACCTGGTAACGCTTAGTTCCAGCGTTCTACCAGGCCGATTTTCATGATTTTTGCGGCTATCGACAGGCAGTTGTCTCTAAATGAGCCCGCTCTATTCAGATTTTGAAAATATGACCCAGGTTTCTTTACATTACGCGGTAAAGTTGCGAATTCTCCCATTTAAACAATGTAAATTTTTATTTTTTGTCATAGTTCGTTTGAGCGTTCTACTGGGCCGATTTCCATAATTTTTGCGGTTATCGACAGGCGATAGTCCCTAAATGAGCCCGCTGTAATTAAATTTTGGAAATTTGACCCAGATTTTTTTTATAATTGAATATACCTGGGAGCTTGGAAAGGACGGAAAATTAAACTAAGCGGGAAATTGTGAATGTTGGTCTGTTAGTAGGGTTTAGGGTAAGGTAAACGAATCAAAATTGTGCTCCTTTACCACAGACTATCCAAAAGTAACGAAACGTTCCGTTCCATATTCATTCCGTTTCGTTTCAGTCTTGGCCTGAAGTTGAAAATAAATGGCGGCTTTCTAATTTGATTCTTATTGGTCCAATCGTCCCCTGCCAGAGGGAGATTGGACAAATGGGAATCGGGTATGAAAATGCTTTAATTTTTTTTCGTCGTTCTTTTGTCGAAGCGGGCCTAAGAGAGGGCGAGGCGCCCTTTGGGGGTTGGGCCGCGTAGCGGCCAGGCGGCATAGCCCCCTAGTATCTAATATGGCCATAGATATGAATTAATTTGACTCCAAAGTACTTTATTTATAGGTAGTTGGAATCTCGTTAGATTGGATCTGAGAGTTGATTGACTCGACTTATCTTCAATACAGAATAACAGATTATGATTAATTTTGACAGTGTCATACGCCGACATACTCTGAGAATTTACAACCCCCCCCCCCCCCCNAATAATTGTCGGGTAGTCATAAGTGACGTAGGTTATAAGGCGGAGCGTAGTTGGTCGGCTATGTCTTGTCGTGCCTCTGCTAGGTGCAACCCTCGACAAGCTAAAGGCACCTCTTCAGTTTCCGACAGTATGTCGTCCATTCCACCAGACAAATGCAGAATGAAGCAGCGATAAGACAAAGTCGACCAATCACGCTCCGCCTTTTAACCTATGTCATCTGTGTCTACCCGACAAACACAAACTTTCAACAATCAAGCTGCAGATCCCACTTGATAAGGTGCCCTTCTGCCCCCCGCCCACATAAAGTTTCTAATTCCGCCCATGTTCGTTTGTGACATACCATACAAAGCGTTTGCACTGCGGGGAACCTAAATTTTTTTGATGACGTAGATCGGTACGGACAATTTTCATCTTCAATTTTCTTGAATATGGTTTGGGTCATGGAAAAAAGTCATTCTACATGAAGTGTTTGACATTATATCATGAGATGATCTAAGCAAAAAAATCAGACGTTTTGGTCCGTTGTTCATACTTCGAATTCCGGATTTTACGGGAATATCGACGTCATAACAATCGACCTAGATCACGCACGGGGTGATCAATCCGCAAGATGCAAACACCTTCTATTTTTCTCTATGGTGACATACATGCGCCGAATGGACCACTAGACAGGGTCTGAACTAAAAATTAACGTCACACGAATTCTCTTCAAAATCTTTCGTGGAAAAAGAATCATACAACGGGAGTTTCGGGAATCAACTTCTGAACGAGATACTGGCAAATATTTTTGACACAGGCCAATAATGAAAGTCCGCTTACTTAAACAAATTACGTTACTTGTATTTAAACATTTATATCTTGTGTAAGATTTGATTTTCAGACAGCTTCCTTTTGCGTGATTCGTTTTCGTCGTGAAATTTTGAAGAGAAAACATCTTGCGTTGAGTACCTATTAATTCGTACTTTGTCTAGAACCCTTTTCTGCCGTGCTGAGAAAGAACGCCGCATGGACATTCGAGGGTTGCCAGATTTCCTTCAATAAATGCCTGTTTATTTTTGAGAAAAGTTATGAATATATTTTTCCTTGAAATTTTCAGGAACATCAGGTGAAATTATGCGATTTAGTGAACATTATCAGAAAAATTGGAAGATAAAACTTCATTAAGTTGCCAGAAAATTCGTGTTTTCTAAATGGAAATTTGGAAACGCCTAAAGGTTCATACGGCGTTCTTCCTTAGCACGGCAGTATTGTTCTCAGATGGCTCGTGACAATTTCTAGCGCGCGGTATATCGCATAGATGATATGAAAAATCTCGGTAGATTTTGAATATTTAGCAAAAAAAAGAAAAATAGCCCCTGCGCATGAGCCTACAGAATCATTCCAAACTAAAAAACTGTCAAAATCCAAAGGAACGAGAGCAAGTTCCTTTTTGGAAAGAACCTCGCATTTGATACAGTTCGATTTTTGTATTAAATGCGAGGTTTTTTCTTAAGGGGCCCTTCTTTCATTTTTCTGAAGTTTCCCAATTTATTTTGTTTAGAATGATTTTTGAGGCTCATCCGCGGAGATCATCTTTTCTCCTTTTTTTTTGGCTAAAACTTGAAAATCTGCCGAAATTCTTTGATTAATCGATGCAATATATTGGACGCCAGTTGGACCAAGCTCGAATCCGGGACACGAATCACCTTCACTCTCTCGATGAAGGGTCTCTCGCCCATGTAAACGCTTACCTATGATGTTTTCAGTGACCTGGAGAGTCGGCAAAACTTCTCAACCTACAAATTTGCTGAAAAATACAAGCTCGGACCAGCACCGTGGGCTTTGAATTTCATACGTGTTCAGTACAGTGACAATAGTGTCGAACCATACGATGATCAAGTCGAAATCATAACCGAGAACGTGGATCCATTCGAAAGCGACCAAGATGAGGATGAAGACGAATGATTCAGACACGGGCCGCACGGGTGCGCTGAGCACCATTCAAATCATAATCCGTCATGAAGTCAAAAATTATACTATGATAATATGGATACCTACTGTATATCGACGGTGTAAATCCGTAACCACGTATCTCGGTTTGTGTACTTTCTTCTCTCTGTGTAAAATAGTCTGCGAAAATTTCAAATATCAACGTCGATTTATTTTCTTTTAAGGGAATGAAACAGGATCGGAGATTTTCAAAACACCACAAACGAGATACGTGGTTGCGGACTTGCACCGTCACCGTCAGTGTTGTACGTATCCTCTAGTCTACATGCAAGTATGGTTGATTAGTAATTACGTTTATTTAGAGGTGATTTTAACATCTGGGTCATTAAGACTTAGAGGAGAGATCAAAATAGTATTGAATAGAATTTAAAATATTTAAAAAGTAGGGGTTACAAAAGGGTAGTACCTACACAAAATTAAGTTATAGGACCAGGGCCGGGTTTACATACATACTTGCCGCCCATGGGCTGCTTTTATTTTGCCGAACCCTTCTCATTCATTCGGGAACATCAATAAAAACGAACAGGGGAGGGGTGCATATAATTATCAAATCACATTTATGTTTGTTCTTTCATAATTTTTTCGTTTATTTCTTATAAATGGAAGGCCTTGTCCACACAGAGGTAGATTTACGGAACTTAACTTTCGTGCAAAGTTCCGTGAACTTTTGCTAATAGTGTTGACAGGGCTTTCGCAAAAAATGTATCTAACACGAGTAAACGCGTCTTAACCTCCGCCGCCGCGCTAACCGCACTATGTTTGGCGCAATGCGTGAAGTATTCCTACAGTCTTGTAGGCGCTAATATATGTTACTTGCCGACCGCTGCGCCGAGGGCTTCTCCTTTTTATCTCAATTAAGTCCTTTCCAGGCCAAATTACGTGATTGGTTTCTTTCTTAACTCGACTAATTAAAGGTGCTGCCTCTTGTATCACCGAAAGACGACAAAATGAGGAAATATTATTATGTCAGGAAATGAGAAGATTTTGTCGCCTTTCCTCGTTCGTATTTTTTCCGAATCCGTTTTTGGCGCGTATACGTAGTATACCGCCTTTGCGATCGTTTCGACCCCCCCCCTCGATACAATAACCGAGTCCCCTAGTTCCTTACCGAAAAGTGACTACCGCGAACTTCTGAGATTTTCCAAAGCGTGTAAAAAGTTTACTAATCCGTCAATAATAATGATTAAAATTTGTTTCTCATTCTGGGGCTCGCTAGTTTATGTGTAATGAATACCAAGAGTCTACGTTTCTTGGTTTTTTTTAAAAAAACCTTAGAATGGGGCGCGCTGATTTAAAATATGCATATATAAGCGGAAGCAAGCGAACTGATTCGAGGATGGCTGACCAGTTCGGCACTCCTTGAATGAGAATTTCACTCACTCCGTTTTGTTCACAACGTTGCTTTGACATATCTCCACAACACTGTTATCCTTTTCAAAAGTTGGTACTCCTTGCTCTGATAGCCGGGGCCACCAGGATAGTGGTAAGTGCAATCTGTGATGAGCCTCGAGACTCATTAGACCATTTGCTAAACGTGGCTCATACAGGAGTCCACTAAGCCCTCTCGTCCCCACGCTCCTGATCACTGCGTCGGCGTCACGAAGAACAATGGGCCTTGGGTCCCAACGCGGCCGATACCCGTACCCCAATTACTCACGCTTCATTAACCATTTCACCGTCACGCTAGGATTCATCCAATTTTCAAAAAAAAT